CATTCGCTGGCTGGGGAATTCTGGGAGTTGAAGTCCGGACATCTTCAAGTTGCCAAGGTTGAGAAACACTGTTCTAAGGTCAGTGCTTGTTTCTTATGGATTAGAACTAGTAGCAGAAAAAATAGAATTAATCATTGTCAACGTCTAGCCTTGGGTTTCTATTTACAAGACAAGATTTAAAAGAGGGAGCTGTTGAAATATGTCCTCCTCTTTCATTATCCCGAGACTGGACATCCCAATAGTTTAATCCTCTCTCATGAAAGGTTTTAGCATTTAACACTTGCCTCTTTCAAAGTTAATCTTATAGTTTTATGAGGGGAAGGGTCTTCAAAAAGCTCAAACTTCCCACTAAATTGCAATTGCTAGAAGTGTTCCAGATGAAGGCCTTGAGCCGAGGTGGCGCAGTGGTTAGGGTGCAGTACTGCAGGCCACTTCAGCTGACTGTTATCTGCAGTTCGGCTGTTCAAATCTCACTGGCTCAAGGTTGACTCAGCCTTCCATCCTTCTGAGGTGGGTGAAATGAGGACCCAGACTGTGGGGGCGATATGCTGACTCTGTAAACCGCTTAGAGAGGGCTGAAAGCCCTATGAAGCGGTATATAAGTCTAACTGCTATTGCTATTGCTAGTGGTCATTTAATTATGGCCGCTGCCCCCGCTGCCAGTTTGAAGGGCTTTTCTCCGACCTACTGAAGAACTACCAGTTCCTCTTGGTCATCTGAGACATCTATTCTTCTCCCCCATCCCTCCAGGACAGGTTTCAGTCTGAAGACCTCCTGGAAGTGGTTTGTCCAGCTGGATTTCCATGGGCTCGGCAGAGCCCAGTTTTTACCAACCGATCTCACCGTGACGCTTCCGGCTTCTCTCCACTTTTTCCATACCATCTCTGACTTAGCAATAGCAATAGCAATAGCAGCTAGACTTATCTACTGCTTCATAGGGCTTTCAGCCCTCTCTAAGCGGTTTTACAGAGTCAGCATATTGCCCCCAACAACAATCCGAGTCCTCATTTTACCCACCTCGGAAGGATGGAAGGCTGAGTCAACCTTGAGCCGGTGAGATTTGAACAGCCGAACTGCAGAACTGCAGTCAGCTGATGTAGCCTGCAGTGCTGCATTTAACCACTGCGCCACCTCGGCAAACAAAGTCATAACCAAAAGCTAACATGGGTTTGTCAAAAACAGATCATATCATGCCAGTCTAATTTTATTGCATTCTTTGAAAAAGTGACAAAATTAGTGGACCAGAAGAATGCTATGGATATAATTTCCTTGGGCTTCACTGAAGTATTTGATAAATCACAACATACTACTGATCAATCGCGCTCAACATGTAGTCCTCAATGGAACTGGATCTACAGGGAGGAAAGTATTCAATGGGGTACTCCAAAGCTCTGATTTAGTGCCCAGTACTCTTCAACATCTTCATCAATGATTTGGATGAGGAGATAGATGAGGAACTCATCAAATTGCAGGTGACACCAATAGCCAATGCTTTAGAAGATAGGTTTAAGATACGGAAGGATCTTGACAGACTTGAACATTGGATGCTATCTAACAAAATGAAATTCAATTCTGAAAAAAAAAAGTGTTTTGCGCAAGAAAACCAAATGCACAGGTATAGTATAGGTGACATCTTGCTCAATAGCAGCAACTGTGAGAAGGATCTCAGAGTCATAGTGGACAATCACTTAAATATGAGCCAGTAGTGTACTGCAGCTGCCAAAAAAGCCAAAACAGTTATAAGCTGCATTCACAGAGGGATAGAATAAAGATAATGAGAAACATCAATACCACTTCATAATAAGGCCACACCTGAAATACTGCATTCAGTTTTGGTTGCCACAATATTATAAAAAAAAATGAGACTCCAGAAAGAGTGCAGAGAAGAGCAAAAAAGATGATTGGAGACTGGAGGCTAAAATATTTAAAGAATGGTTGTTGAAATTGCATATGTCTAGTTTAATGAAAAGACTAGTGGTGACATGATAGTAGTATTCCAATATCTCAGGTGTTGCCACAAAGATGAGGGATTCAAGCTATTCTCCAAAGCACCTGAAGGCAGGAGAAAGAAGCAATGGATGGAAACTAATCAATGAGAGAAGCAACCTAGAACTAAAGATAAATTTCCTGATAGTTAGAACTATTAATCGGTGGAACAACTTGCCTCCAAAAGTTGTGCATGCTCCAACACTGGATTTTTTAAATAAGAGATTGGACAACTATTTATCTGAAATGGTATAGGGCTTCCTGCCTGAGCAGGAGGTTGGACTAGAAGACCTCCAAGGTCTCTCCCAACTCTGTTATTCTGAATAAGCCCCAGATTCCTATGGAATCTATCTGGACCCCTCTGTTGCCATCAGTGGACCAATGAAATAGGTTCTGTCACTCTGCAGTGGGAAATATTATACAAAAAAAGTCCCTTGGTTATCAGGGCATGATTTGACCATGACATGGGAACCACAGAGAGTTCTTAGAAGTTCTGATCAATTTGCATTGCTCCAAACTGAAAACAGGTAGTGAACAATGTCCCATACTGGCCCTGGGATGACCTGGGTTACACTCATGGCTGTCATGATGGTAAACAGCCTCCAAACCATCCACAGAGAAGACAGATAAAATTGCCCCTCAGAAATGGAGTCAAGGAGCCCGGGCAGGGAGATCATCTTGCAGCAGAGAGTCTATAACAGTAGCCACAATCTCAACTGATGACTAGAGAGCAATTTAATTTCACATGAACTTTTGAGACAGCACCTCTAAAAGCTATGAGGAACAACTCTCTATTGCCTTAGAAAGAGAAAAAAAGTAACTAGTTGTAACTAAAGTAGAATTGAACAAGGACTAATTGAGCATGTAGAACAGCACAAAACCAATAAAATAAGGTTGTCTTCATTGAAGTTTGTTCCAAAGACAAGTTGCCACTACTGCAATATCAAATATAAGCACCCACTCACTACAAGAAACAAACCAATAATAAATGACACAGATGTTGTCATAACTGAAAGCCAAAGAATGCACCATAAAAATGGAAGATCAGGCTAGAAAATAAGATTAGCAAGCTGAGATCAGTTGCAAATTTGGTAGCTAGAACAGATGAAAAAAGAAGTGAAGAACAAGAAGACCAAAGAATGCCTAATCAAAAAATACTGTTTAGAAACAAGGAAGATTAAGGAAGCACTGGAAATCATAAAGCAGCAAATGACAACAATAGCCAAGAAGATAGAAGATACAAAGTTTGGATTTCTAAGTATAGGTAGAATCTTCAGTTTCATATAGTTTTCATCAAGAAAGGTGATCAAAGATATTTGCTTTCTTCAATAAAGGATGGATTTATCAGATTTCTTACCCGAGACTGTTGGTGATTCCTGTAGTAGTCATTCACATTAAAATCATCCAGATCTACAGTGAGTGTCTGTTTACAGAGTTCACAGGTTTTCACTGCACCAAGTTCAGCACCTAATCAATACAAATATTTATTTGTAAGATATACTTACTGGAGATTAAATAGTTTAAAATACTCTCTAATTATACCACATATTTGATCAGTTCATAGCTATATTTACAATTTTGTAGTCACCATCCCATTATAGAATTAGTATTTTGTTTACTGATGTTAACATGTTGATATCCATTTTATAGCCTACAAGAAATGCATTTATTTATAAAATTTACTTTACCACATAGTAACTCTGGGCAGCTGAAATATGCTTGGAATATAAAGATAATATGGGTGTGCGCTTTCAAATGATTGGAGTTACTTGGATAAGTCCCTCCTGTTTTCTTGGCAAGATTTTGGAACTGATTTGTCATTGTCTGCTTCCTAGACTGAGAAAACGACTGGTCCAAGTCACCCAGATGGCTTTATGCCCAAGACGGGACTAGAACTCTTGATCTCCCAGTTTTTAGTCTAATGTCTTAACAATTACACTAAATTAGATCTTACTTATATTTATAGGGAAATATAATGTATCGGAGGTAATTTATTGCACATTTTGAGCAAGTATAAAAAATTCCTTAGTAGTATCCTACTATGAGAAGTCTGAAACCGGTACCTGCAACCCTCAGTTTTCTTTTTACTAGTAGTTTTCCAAGAAAACAAAATGAAAAATAAGTAAGATAGAAATTTGCTGAAGAAAAACAAAATGACCAACAATAAAAAGAATTCCAGTTAACTGTTCAAATGTGTGCAGAACAATGCAGCTACTGCAGCAGTAAAATAAAACACATACAAAGAAAAGGAGGGAATGGAGGCATATATCTAGTCATGCAAAAATGGAAGTGAGAATCCTATCTAAAGATCATCTCAGCTATATAGGTTTCTGGTAATAATTCTGAGCATATGTAAAGTCCATATTTGTGACACACAGACACCACAATGGATAAAAACCTGAAAGCTTCTACCTTTCCTTAATATGTTCATATATCTGTGAAGTACAAGAAATATATAGAGGAATTACATTATTAGTAAATATCCAAAAAGTAGGGATAAATAAATTAGTAAATATTATTTAAAAAAATAGGCATTTCTGCTTCTTTGAGAAATACTTCCATTCTCTTATCCACGGATTATAGATTTTATTTTTTTATATACACATATTCTTCTATAACAGGAGTGGGTTGGTGCCAGCATTACTGCCGCTTCAGTGCACATGCAATTTTGCACATGTGTGCTCGTTTTGCTTGCACGTGCACCTGAGACACACTCCACACCTGTATGCAGTTGACCATAGGTTGCGCATATGCAAAATGTTAAAAAATGGGGGGGGGGGAATTAAATATGTACAATTAAAATTGTTTTGCACATGCGCAGAACTGAAAAATAAGATAGTGGCGCTGATGGCGCCGCACGGGAAACCGTTTCGAGGACATGGCAGGCCTGGGTTGCTGCCAATTCCAGTGACCCAGGCCATCAAACCACTACCAGTTTGACCGAACTGGTCCGAACCAGTAGGAACCCACCACTGTTCTATAACATATATCCTTCTTATTTAAGGGCCATCTATCCATCTATTTCGGGTTTCTTTTCTTTATACACACACACATACATGTCCTTGCTACATAGAAGACATTTTGATGTCATAATGCCATATAAAGTTCTAGCACTGCCCCTACAAGCCAGTAAGCATAGCTTATTTACTTGCTTAATTCAAGGACAATAATTTGGCCAAACATTTACAACAGAGCATTGTGAGCTTGCTCTTGATTCCTACGAATGAAAGATCATCTTCCTAAGAAGATCTCTAGGATTTCTGGGAAATTGGAGGAATGGATGCAGAGTTCTCTGCTGTGCACTTATTTATTTTTGCTGTGAAAAAAATAATATAAAGGAAGAGAACAATAACATATGATAAGAATATTGCAGAGTGCTGGGAAATTGGGTGAATAGAAGGTAGATTGCAGATGCCAAAAACTGCAGATATTAAAAAAAATAGATTACTGTGAATTTAGATAATTTATTTATCAAGTGTGGTTATGTAAAATCATGCATTATAAGGTCATGCATTTGTAAATTGATGTAAGAAATCACAGTGTGGTCTAAAATTCAGAGTATCTTCCTTTCTGATAAATACAATAGATATGATTAAAACACATTAAGCTCAACAATGGAAAGTGTGTGTACCAAAAATAATTAATTGAAGTGCTTTAAGCAGACTTACTTAAGCATGTACATTGAACTTAAACTGCAGTCTAAGTTTGGACTAACCAATCAATAAAAAATAAAATCAAAGTATCTGTAGCTAATCCGTATCTATTTAACATTGCCCACGAATTATTATAATGATATATTGTTACAATATATTGAAAATGCATACGTGGATTTTTTTAAATATGTGTGTAAGTCTAATACATACCTCACATATTCTTGCTTCAGTTTTTTATAGTTTTAATACACATATAACCCACACATATATTCATATATATAGGCATACACTGTGTGCACAATTATTAGTCAAGCTGTATTTTGGAGGATTAATTTTATTATTGAATAACTACAGTGCTTTCAATCAATACAGAATGTTAATAAACCTCACACCTGGATATTTAAGAAAGTAAAAGAGAACTTTCGTAGGAAAATATCTCTGTGTGTACAATTATTGGGAAAATATTAGTGTGCAGAATTATTATGCATCTAAATCAAAAATGAAAATTTTCCCATCTCACTCATTTATTTTCATCTGTTAAAGTGGGAATAATAAACCAACAACTCAAAATTTACAAACAAACAATTCTGACAGTTCAAAAAAAATCAGTGACAGTTTCAATAACAGACATACCGGTAAGCCTTCCATTCATGAAGTCTGTCACTTTTTTGATTTGTTGACACTGTTCAAAGAGGTGAACTACCATATTTTTTGGAGTATAAGATGCACCTTTTTCCCACAAAAAAGAGGCTGAAAATCTGGGTGCAGTATTTTTTGCCTCCTGAAATCCCGCTCCTTTCACCGAAATGGCTTTGCATTGACTTTAGGAAGCTTTCAGAGAGCTCCTGGGGCTGGGGAGGGCAGAAATGAGCAAAAAATGGGCTGGTTTTTATTATTATTATTTATTATTATTTATTTGTCTTGTATGCCGCCCACTCCCAGAGGACTC